CAATTACAACAACAACACAACACAACCACAACATGAATCTTTGTCCCAAAAATACCACAAATACACTAAAGAACTCATATTGAGTCAATGAAATAGAATTCTACCTCTTGAAGAGAAGAGGAGAAGGTAAAAGCACCATCTGTCACCCGAAACAAGATTTGGTAGAGATTAAACCAAAGCCCTCACCAAGCGCTCCAACAACTAAGGAGGAGTTGGAGATCAAACTCAAGCATAAAGGCCTCAAAATCAAGATTTAAGCCCAAGAAGTTAGGGCCAAAATCGAATAGAGGAGAGAAAGAAGAGAAAGAGAAAAAGAATAGATATTTTCGCCTCAACACTGTCTTATATAGATGACAGATCGAGAGCGTGACCAAACATCGCGGGCGCGACTCAGATAGCTAAGCAGGTTGCGGGTGCGATCAAGAGAACTACGAGCACGATTGAGACAACACACTAGGTCGCGGGCACGACCAGGACATCGCAGCCGCAACCATGAAGGTCTCGAGCCACCATCGCGGGCCATGCACCTCCTCTCCAGCCAACAGACATGAAGGCTACAATTGGTTGCGGCTTGGTCGCGGCTCCCTTGTGGGTGCAATATCTCCTTCTTTACACCACGGGTACGACTACCACAGTCACAGGTGCAACCAATCTCACCCCATCAAACTTGGTTGTTGCTCCACAGCCAACCCAAAACACCGAATGGATCCAAACCCACCCAAACAAGGCCAAAAATACTCGGACAACCATGTGCCTTAATCAGAAAATAAAATGGGTCGGGTTTTCTCACCCAGGCCACTATACCTATACTCCAATATTAGTAATAACTAACTTCTTAAATAACATGTTTCTACTGCACACTCTGATATTAACAATTATTAATTAATTAATTATTTTTTATTTTATTATTATTGTTAATATATATATATTTTCATTTTATTTTCTGTCGACTGAGGCCAGTTGGCCTCGATTCCTCTTATTCTTGTTTTGAGTTCATCTCTTCCTCCTCCTCATTCTCATCTTATCTTCCTTCTCCTCTTGGCTTTTCCTTTTCCAAAACAACGAGCGCTGTCTCTATTTCTACAAAATTTAATGACTGTGGTGCTGTTGATACAACTAGCTTCAAGCTTCTCCCATCAATTGACTTGCCCTGTCTATTTTGTTCTTTCCGTCCTCATTATATAAGAGGTAACAGATAAGAGAAATCAAAAGAAAAATAAAGTTGCAAAGATTAGCCCATTACGGATTGAACTTTTCTTTGATGATATGGAAACTTCTCATGCTCTATCACACCCTGAATTTTCGAGATTCGGCCCACGTGAATAAACCACCCATCGATAAATAAAAGAAAACAATAATATAAAAGGAAGTACAACTCTCATGCAGATAGATATGATAATGTCATACATTATATGAGTCCTTCCAATTACATACACCCTATATACAAGTTATAAGTTAAATGAATGTTCTTTACATAAAGATATGCGATAATATCATATGGAATTAACATGCTCTTAGGCTTACATCACATACAAGGGTACAACCCTTTACAAGAATGGCACACGGCCAATAAACAAAATGGCCCAAGGCCTACAAATAGATGGGCAACCTCACACAAACCACAACCACAACCACAACCACAACCACAACTACAACTAATGCCACATCTCTACATCTGGGCAAGCCAATATACCTGAAAAATATTTCAGCCACGTAAGGTGAGCATAAAGTCTAGTAGAGTACATTTCAAAAACTAAACATGTTCCACTAGCATAATGATCATGATGTTATAACACACACACGCACACACACATATCTATGATTAATGTATTTTCAAATCCATGCAATTTCTTAATGAAAATTATCTCTTTTCCAATCATCAAAAACCTTACATTTGTTCAAAATGTTTTTTGTTATCAAAATATTTGTGTGGGTTAATCACTTTCCAAAAACAATACTGTATATCATAATACCAACTAGCAAATACATTGCAAAACCAAAAGCAAATACATTGCGGAACAAAAGCAAATACATTGCTAAACAATTTCAAAACATCATTTTCAAAATCAAAATGATAATAAATAAAATGGGTAAATCTCCAGGGTTAGTGTTCATAATAGTAACTATACAAGTCACTATGCCATTTTACCTGGATTATTATGATGGAATCGGCACCTACCGTGCGGGTTTTAGGTCTTACACCATAGACACACAAGCCAACTTAATTTTGCCCCCTAACAACTTTACCACTTAATTCACCCTTTTATAAACACAACACATGTGTTTTGAAAACAACATTTCCAAAATGATACGAATGTTTCCAAAACATAATATGAGAGTTTTCAAAACAACCTTTCCAAAACATATAGTTTTGAGTTCCAAATCCATGACACATCATGATATGTTTGATTCCACAAATAGTCCAAATTGCCTAATCTTATCCAATTTTTAGCACACGGCAATGCTATCCTCTACCGATAGCCATAATAGTTATCTCTAATGCAATAATTAAAAGATAACAAACAACCGTTACCCTCCATGATTCCCAATACTTGAAATAATCCATATTCTACATTTTAAAGCCCAATTTCCAAAACATAGATAGTTTTCCAACCAACTTAGTATTTCAAAAGAGTAATCAATACCCATCATTTCCAAAAGTTTCATAAGAATTTCCAACCCAATCCTCCATTTTTAAACAAAACAAAACCTTGTTCCAATAATCCCGTAACTCCCAAAACATAACATTTAGGGTTTTTCAACAACTTGGGCTTTCTCACTCAAGAACACCCACATGCAATTTTATATATAGAAAATATGTTTAATAGCAAAGTTGTAGAAAATCAAACTCCAATTCAATCAAACCCTCAACCCTCAAACATAATTTCCAAAATCAATATAACACCAAATACAACATGGTTCTATGTACTCAAAACTACAACAAACACACCATAGAACTCACATTGAGTTTAAAAATAGACCCTACCTCTTGAAGCGAAGAGGAGACAAGCCAGAAAAACTGTCGGCAACGAAAAAATGATTCGATCAGATTAAAACAATACCCTTGCCACCCTCTACATGTTGGTATATGGAACTAGGGGTAGAAAATGGATAGAAATAGATGAAACCCAAGCTTGAAAAGTTTAAAAGGTAAAAAATGGTGAGAGGGAGAGAGAAGAAGAAGATTGGATCAAGAAAAATTGATATTTTCAGTTTTTGGAGACTTTTATAGATAGACAGGCCACGGGTGCAAAGGCCACACCACGGTTGTGGTTCAGATGACAAACTTGGTTATGGGTGCCACCAGGAACACCACGGCCCCTCACTGTAGCCCATCGCAGGTCCCCCAGCTAAAGGACTTGAAGCTCCCATTTGGTCGCGATCTCCTCGCGGGCATGACCTTTACCTCACTTCTTCGTGGGGCGCGACCAAGTAAAGACATGAATCCTGGGTTGCTGTTCTAAAGCCAACCCAAGGCACTCTAAGTCCCAAACCACCCAAATATGGCCAAAGTCACTAGGACAACCGCGTGTCCCAACCAGAAAATGAAATGGGTGGGGTTTATCTAACTCGGGCCACTACATGCTCTCACCCTTTTCCTCGATCTCAACATGATACTGCTTCCTTAGATTCTCCTCAGAGTATCCATAATCCTGCTCTCAATCCAGTAGTGTCACTTGACCAACTGTTGGTAGCCAAATCTGATATTGATACTAATGCCCATACATTGAAAACGCGTGTAGAGATTGTGACTGTGGTGTCCAATCTGTCCTGCCAGTTACAAAGTAGAATGAATGAGGTGCATCAGTTGAGGCCACGACTTTCTTACTTTCAGCGCATGTATCAGGAGACTCAGTGAGAAATTAGTCAGTTGAAGAAAGAAAATAAATAACTAAAGAGACGGGCAACGAATTATGCCAGATCTCTGGCATCCTGGTGTACCTCATTTTATGGCCAACGGGGACAAATCTCCTTTGAAAAACCTATAAATCCTAGGGTAGGGCCTTCAAAGGCTTCGCCTAAATAAATCCCTTATTTATTTTGTTTATTTATTATTTTTTCATGAGGTTCGGGTGGCTGAGCACCGATCTTGATCCTTCTACTTCTTTCTTTTCCTCTATTTTCTTCTCACTCACTCACTCACTATCTCTCTCTCTCTCTCTCTCCTATTCTTGTTCTTACTCTCTCTCTCTCTCTCTCTCTCCTATTCTCGTTCTTACTCTCTCTCTCTCATTTCTATTCTCTGATCCACCTTTAACACTGGCCATCATTTCTCAAATTAATCTTCGATCCATCTAAATCCATTATTGATCTACCCATCTCCGTCGTTGATTTTCCCAAATACGTCGCCGATCTAACCAAATCCAACGACACCAGTATTCTCATCCACTGTCATTGTTCATCTATTAGAATGCTAAACTTATTGTTGCAATGTGTAATATTGTTTTCATGGTTGTATTTAGTACATATTTTGTTTTCTTTTACACACTATGCGTCTACTTGGTACGAAGTATTGGGTTTTAGTTGTCTCTTTTTTTTTTTTTTTTTTTTTTTGCTAGTGCACTCGCTGTAGTTGTGTTTGGCCGGATACTCATGGCTCTTGGTAATATAAATTTTTAGATTTGTATTATTTTTGTCCAACTACTCACGTCTCATCCTCTTAGATCTGAATAAAGAAGAAAACATTAACCTAACGAAGGTAAAAGTTTAAAAAAGTTTCAGAAATTACTGGATCAAGAGTTCGAAACCATAGACGTGAAGAGTTTAATGATCCTCAGCCTTGTCTTTGATAAAGTTGCAATTTCTTACTTTAAGTATCCTTGATCTAAACTCAGATTTGAGCGTTAATGGTGAAGAGTAAAAGGCTCTAGAAGAGAAAGTTGCCGTTGTAGATTTGTAGGAACAATATCAACACCCACAACTCTTTAAATATCTTTCTTTTTCACTAGTAACACCAACTAAGCACAATGCGTTTGCATTGAATCAAATTTTCCAAGATTCGTCAATTTTTTTTGATGTTCTTGAAATGATGAAAACTCAAGGAGATTATGGTATACAAGAGTACATATCTAATCTTGATCCTCAGGATATGTAGGTGAATATGTATCTTGATTAAGAGTTAACTTTTAGAATGTAAATAAGGGTTTGAGAGAGTTGTTGGTCTTCGAAGTCAAAGTCTTAGGTTTGATATTTTACATTGTAAAAATATTAGAGAGTTTTGCTTCTCATTTCTCAACTTGAGTGTGATGGTATGGCAAGTATTACCTAAAAATGATTTTCTCTCTTTAGCTCACGGTAATTGCTGGAAGCTGAATGAAGGCTATCGCTTATTGATCCTCTTGTGACTTGTCCCATCAAATTTATTAACATAATGTTTCTACAACTCCAAGGTTGTTTGTACGGTCGATCTTTATTTTTATTTTTAGAGGAGTGTGATTGCTTTGTATTGTTGTTTTGAAATTATTGTGGGTTTGCGCAATCCATATGTTGACATGATTTTGGCTGGTGGCATCACACTCCTTTGCAATGATCTTCAGGTAGCTTTACTTGTTTACAACTAATTGCCTTCAAAGTGATTGGTTGATCCGGTTACTGGAATTTTTAGTTTAAATGATTATATGAGGAACATCATCTTCAAGCATTACACCCATAATTTTAGTCGTGTGTTATGGCTCATTATAAATTCATTTTTCAATGGTTTTGGAATTTTTATTTCTTTTTAGAAACTAGAATTATCTCTTAACTTGGTTAAATGACATTTGAATATTCGTTTTCTTGGCAGGTGGATCCCCAAGATATTGTTATGGTATGTGGATATATTTAGATACTTTAAACCTGCTACAAATCATAGAACACAAAATGATTTATATAATTACATTTTTCTGAAAATTTTGTCATGTAGGATATAGCCAAAGTTCCTCTCGCTTACATCTTTGCTGCCTTTATTCCAGCTGTAATGATAGCAGGGCTTTACTTCTTTGACCACAGTGTTGCTTCACAGAAGGCGCAACAAAAGTTCAATCTCAAGAATCCTTCTGCTTACCATTATGACATCGTCTTGTTGGGATTCATGGTATATACAATTGGACTTCTCCTATTCCTAGCAGTTGTTCTTATCTGCTTTGCTTTACCTAGCTTATGTTCTCTTCTAATTTATGTGTTATCAGACTTTGCTTTGTGGACTGATTGGATTTCCTCCTTCAAATGGGGTCATCCCACAGTCTCTGATGCACACCAAGAGCCTAGTTGTTCTCAAACGGAAGGTAGACGTAAAAAATTAAAAAAAAATGGAGGAATTATTTACTTATACCCTAATCTGCTTTTAGGTCCGGATGTTGAACTCGTTCTCTCGTGTTTTTGGGATGTTGAATTGTTCATTTTGTCTATATGGGCCCGTTTGTTTTGGGTTATCTAGATGGAAAAGGATTAGGATGGTGGACGTGTTATTTAGTGTTATGTTTGTTTGTAGAGTTGGGAAGGGGATTAGGATGGTGGAGATGATATAGATGGAGGTTGGGGAGGGGATTGAGATGGAGGACGTGGAGATGGTATTAGAAAAATAGTGAGGGGATTAGAAATTTTTTTATTTATTTTTATTTCTTATATATTGGGAATTTTTTTTATAAACATTAATCTTTAATTTTTTATATTTTTTTATTTGTTTTATTATTTTGTATAAAAATAATTTAACAATTCCTACACTAACAACTATTATTAAAACAAACACAATTTTACTTAATCCCCTCACTATCAATCCCCTCACTATGAATCCCCTCCATTTTACCTCTGAAAACAAACGGGGCTTGTATGTCTTAAGTTTTCCTTATTTGGCATATGCTTGTCGGCATTTAGGTTTATCCATATGCAAAACCTTTAGGATCAACATCAATTACTCAATTGGTGTGGTAATTAATTCTTGAAGCGTTAGAAAGAATGCTGGAATCCTAAGAGTTTATTTTCCTTTCCTGTATTTCACTATTTCTTTGCCATAGTATTCCTAGAATTAGCACATAGATTCCTCCTTAAAAAAAAATTGATTTCTGGGTTATTTTCGAACCTATTACAGCTATGGAGAAGCCTATGATAAGATTCAATATCAATCAAGTGAGCAATTATAGCTATGGAGAAGCTGAGGCATTGACTAATGTTATTGAAGAAGAGAGTCAGATTTTTTGGGAGGTCTTCAGGATCAAAAAGATTATTGATAATTGTCAAGATGAGGTTTATCTTCATAACTTCTACTGAATCTTTCTCTTTTATGTGAATTTAATTTTCATTTCTTTATTTTGTTGCTTCTTAAAGTTTTTTTTTGGTAAGAGCTTTGACTGATAAATGGGAGATTAAGCAGAAATTCCCTGTTACATTCTAATCCCAGAGTGTGCAACATCAAAGATGAAGACCGAGAGAGAAGAAAGGAGCAGAGAGAGAGAGGGGAATGATTTTGAGAGTTGGGTATCGAGAGAGAGCAAAGAGAGAGAGAGAGAGAAGGGTGAGGGTTTGAAGAGTAAGGGATATCAAATTTCTCTGTAGGGACCTTAGACATCATAAAATAATATTGTGGATCTCTTTCATTACTAAAAATGGGATAGGGACCTTAGACTAATTTTTTTTTATAATTTAATATATATCAAACAAAATTATTGTATGATAATTACACGTTTATAATATGATAGAACTAAAATTATCAAAATACATAAATAATTTAACTAAAATTAATATATGTAAGTATATAAGTAATAATTTTATAGAACAATAGCGCCACTAATAAATAATTAAAATCATACTTTAATTTTAATTTTAATTTTAAATTAAAATTAAAATTATTCTTTTATAACACACATTATACCATCAATTTTTTTTTTTTTAAAAAAAAATAGCAGTGCATTGCACGGGTCAGTTGCTAGTATATATATATAAGTAGTGTTTTTGGCTGTCTTATGTGGTACATTCTAAAGTTTTTTTTTTTTTTTCTCCTTAAAAAGTTACATCAGCATGTCTTTTTCATTTGCATGTAAAGTTCTACACAAATTTAATTTTAATTATAATAATTAATTTTATATGAACTTTACTTGAAAAATATTTATTTTATTTTCTATTTTATTTTGTTTTATCGTTGTTAGATTTATTATTATTATTATTTTATTTATATAGTTGATCTTTTATTCTTTCTATTATAATATTAGGTTTTCCGCCAACCTCATATGTAGGAGTTTCTACAATTCAAGTGACGGGTGACGGGGGGATCTTATGATTTGTTAGGAGATTATACAATTTAAAGAAATTTATATTTGGAATCCTAGTTATTTTAGGTAGCTTATTTAACTTTTTTGATTTTATATACATACATACAATATATATGAATAATTCAAAAACAATATCAAAGGAAAAATCAATATTGTGCATAATTAATTTATGTATTTTTTTCTTAATTCAATCACAACATATTTATATTTAATCTTTTAAATAAATTTTGTGTAGTTCTATTTTTACATATTTTATAAAATAAAAATAAAATAAAATAATTAGAATCACTTTTAGTTTTATATTACTAATTATCTTTCTAATTTAACTATTATCTTTAATATCAAAATGAGTGTTTATTTTATTATCTTATAATTTAATATATATCATATAAAATCATTATATGATAATTATACTTTTATAGTACAATAGAATTAAAATTATCAAAATAAACGAATAATTTAACTAAATTTATTATATATATATATATATATATATTCAAATAACATTTTTATATAATGATAAGGCTAAGATTATCAAAATAAATAATTTAAATTTAAATTAATAATTTTTTTTGGTAACACATATCATAATATAAAACATCATTATATTAATTAAAATTAACACAAATATTTTAATATAACATTTTAGTTAATTTAAAATATTTTGATACAAGTGATTCACTATTTTTATTAAATTGGATTAACACAAATGATTATTTGATTTCAAATTAAGAGTATACTTGTTTTTTTTTTTTTAAAGAATTTGGAAAAAATTATTTTTATGAGCCTTTTACATAGGATCACATATACACTGACAAAAATTTTCTTCAGTCATTAGCAAATGTGCTCGTATTTTACTTTTAATTGTTAAAATTTTCTACACAAAATATTAAGACTCAAAATTAACTTTTTATTTTAATAATAAATTCTCTTGCATCGCACGAGTCACCTTCTAATCATATACATATATATATATTATCTACATTGGCATGTCTTTTTCATTTACACATAAAGTTTTACACAAACTTAATTTCAATTAAAATACCTATTTTTCATATATATATAATTATAATTTAATTATTATGATATTTGAAAAAAAAATTATCTCAATATACAAATAAATAAATAAGACAGAATGTGTTTAATTATGTGCATTATACGAATTAAATTAATTTTCTTTTATATTTTTTTTATTTTTTGTCTATCTTATTGATGCCTTAATATTAATTATATATATATTATTAAAAGTAGTGTTTTTTTCATACCTAGGTGACACATTATAAGAGCTTATTTTTTTCTAAGTGAGTCACATCAGTATGAATTTTCTTAATTACATATAGAGTTCTACACCATCTCAAACTTAATTTAAATTATACTAACTTTACATATTTTATATGGATTCTATTTGATAATAGCATATTTCTTTTCTTATTTTTTTTGTCTATCTTATGTATATTTTATTATTAATTTATATTGAGTTTCCTATTTAACATAAAGTTGTTTATTAGGAAAAATTTATATTTAATTTAAACTTTATATACATATATATAATTATAATATATATATATATATAAATAGTTTAAAATAGATATTAAATAATTGAAATAAAATCATATATATTATTAAAAATAGTGTTTTTCTCATGTTTTGATGACACATTATAAGGGTTTTATTTATATTTTTTTAAAGAGTCACGTCAGCATGTATTTTTTTCAATTACATATAGAGTTCTATACAAATCCAAATATAATTTAAATTATACAAACTTTACCTATTTTATATAGATTCTATTTAACAAATATTTAAGGATTTACTTTTTTTCTAAGAGAGCCACGTCAGTATGTATTTTTTTAATTACATATAAAGTTCTACACAAGCTCAAACATAATTTAAATTATACTAGTTTTACCTATTTTATATGGACTCTTTTTGATAAATATTTCTTTTTCATATATTTTTCATTATAAATTGAGATAATCCAAAAACTAATACCAATTTTGCGTTTCACGTTTTTCTTTTGAATAATTCTTTCAAGGGTATTAAGATTTTTTTGTAATGCTAAATTGCTTTTTTCTTCTTCTTCTTTTCTCGTGCATTATTCTATATCTAATACTAATTCTATATTAAAATATATTATGAATTTGTCGTTTAAATTTTATAGTGATTGTATATATGAAATTATACTTATTTTCTTACATTATTTTATATATCACAACTCATAAGAAGAAAAACCAGCTGCACAATGATACTCTCGATGATTTGACATCATATTACAAATGATTAATCACTTCACACACTCATATGTATATGTGGTTTGAATTTTTCATTATTTTTTTCTTTTTGGGTTTAGATGTTGTTATGTAATTCTTTCTTAGTTAGTCATTATTGAATTTATTTTATATAGTTGATATTTTAATTTAATTAAGAGTGTTTATTTTACAATCATATAATTTAATATATATATATATAAATCATATAAAATTATTGTATGATAATCCAACTAAAGCATATTTATATTTAATTTTTTTAAATAAAATTTTATATAATTTCAATTTCTACATACTTTTATTTTCCAGATGAATATAAAATAAAATTAAATAGTTAGAATTACTTTTAATTTTATGTTACTAATTTTTCTTCTAATTTAACTATTATTTTTAATATCAAAATGAATATTTATTTTACTATTTTATAATTTAATATCTATCATACAAAATTATTATATGATATTTACACTTTTAGAATACAATAGAACTAAAATTATCAAAATACATAAATAATTTAACTAAAATTAATATATTGAAGTATTCAATTAACAATATTATATAACGATAGCTCTAATATTATCAAAATAAATAATTAAAATCTTACTTTAAAATTAAAATTAAAATTATTTTTTTATAACACACATTGACTTCTTTTGGGAAGTGGATTGACTTTTGACTTTTTTATCTTAAGGCTAAAAAGTTTCATTTGGGAATGATTTTTTTTACTTGTTTTGAGAAAAATAATGTAAGAATTATGGGTAGAATGTGATGTTTTGTCTTATTGGGCTAAAAAGCCTATTTTATTTTTTTGTGGCTAGTTTAGCTAAAAAATCCCAAACCTCAACATTCCAAACAAGCACATTGTACCATCAAATATTTTTTGAAAAAAATAGTATTCTTATTGCACTGGTCAACAGTTAGTTTTTCCAATAAAGAAAACACCAGCCAAAGATCTCTGTGCTTACAGAAGTTATCGATTGTTCTTGGGTGCCGTCACGTGGTACTCTAACGGTGTTGTGATCAGTGGAGAAGGTAGGACTCACGGATTTGTGTTGGATGATTTGAGAATATAGGCCCTGTTTGTTTTCAGAGATATAACGGAGGAGATTCATAGTGAGGGAATTGATAAAAAGGAGATTGATAGTAAGGGGATTAAGTAAAATTGTTTTTGTTTTGATAATATTTGTTAGTGTAGGAATTGTTAAATTATTTTTATATAAAATAATAAAACAAATAAAAGAATACAAAAAATTAAACATTAATATTTTAAAAAAATTCCCAATATGTAAAAAATAAAAAAATTTCTAATCCCCTTACTATTTTTCTAATACTACCTTCACTTCCACCTTCACATTCTCCATCTCAATCCCCTTTCCAACCTCCATCTTAATCTCCTCCTCCATCCTAATCCATTTTCTAACTCTACGAACAAACACAACATTAAATAACCCACCTCCATCCTAATCCCATTCCATCCTTTATGCTCCAAAACAAACGGGGCCATAAGGGAACATAATAAATTATAATTGAGGAATAATATGATCACGTGACGCGCTAGATCAACCAATAATTTTTTTTAGGTTCATTTAGGAAATGTATTAAAAGTCACTTTTTAACTTGTTAATCCATTTATCTTCTCATATAAAAAAATTAAAAAATTAATTTTTAACCATCTTCCCAAAACACCTTTTAGTAAATTAGTTTTAAGTAGTAGTAATAATAATAATTTAAAATCAAACCAAATAAGATGAGTCAACATATATATATATATATATAAACAGCTCCAATTGCCCCAAATAGTGAGGGGGTATGTATACCTGTAAAGAAATTAAAATTTTAATAAAAATTTATAATGTAAAATGTTAATAAATATTAATAATTTAATTTTTTGTTTTTTAAAAAAGAGAGACTCCACTTTTGTGAGCGAAAAAAAAAAATCAATATTTAAATGCAAATTCTTCTAAAGGTG